TATTGAAAAACTGTACTAATTGGTTTAATTAGGGAACTATACATATATTTGTCACAATTAGTCGACCAAACACCCCACCGTACCTAACCATCCCTATACCTATACTAATGCATTAAATTTTTTATATTTGGATGATCAATAATAATTTTCTTGGCTTAACGCAGGAGTATTTAGCCAATTACATGATCTATTAAATAAGTTTAAATATAGAACAATGAAATTTGTAAGCTCTTTGTTGATTTAAAAACCGAGTTTAGAAGTGTAAATTTGCAGACGATAATGTTTGATAATTTTCGTTTACAAAATGTTCACAAAGCTAATGAAACTAGATTTCTATTTGCTTTGATGAGTAAAATTTCGTTTCGACACATTTTTAAACTTGTGTCGCGCTGTAATGCACATGATATTCATGAATAACCAATCAAAATTTCTATAAGACAGAAAAGTAAATCCCATGTTTCAGATTCATAACGGTTTCCTTTCCTAATAATGTTTATTTTTTTTCTATCTAACATACGTATATTAAAGTGAAATTGTCATGTAATTTTAATGCGCTGCTGGCCAGGTTTGAAAAATCGATAAAAAAAAAAATGCAAAACAAATCAGTGTTAAAAATATGAATGCCGCTGAGTAAAAAAGCATGAAGTCTAAATATAGAATACTACAAAATAATTGAACTATATTTAGAATTCCTTGTTTTTCACTTGGCTCACATAACGATAATAAAGATCAAATCTGCAAAAAGTTTTACCGTTCGATTTATTCAAGATAAATGTTTTTTAACTATGATTACTAAATCATATTACCAGTACTGATTGTTATTTGTTAGAGAAGGGCAACTTATTTTTGCCCACGCCTTAAATTTGCATTAACGTTAAATTTACAGTAGTGTCATTGTGTAGGGCGTGACATTTGTCGCTAGTCTACAATATATTTAATACCTTTAATACCTCACTGAATGTGACAAATAAGCCCTAATCAAAATTTGTTCGTTAAACTAGATCAATATCGATATCAATATATAAGACAAAATTTTCCTGAACTAATTGTCACCTAAAAAAAATAATGTATTCGGCATTGGTATCTTTTACGAATTTCGAAAGTTATCGTTATTTTCTGAATTGAATGTGGCTAATCATGTTGATAGTAAACAAGAACAGGGCGTTCCTCAAGCCACTTTGAAAAAACGTAAAAGTTTGGAAAGTTTCTTCTTTACAATAAACAGTCGTAGTGGTAAAGAAACAAAACTTCTCAGCTAAGCCATCTCATTTTTTCAAAAAGAATAAGAGCTTAATCTAGTAATCGCTAAGCAATACAAACGCCTAGTTCAAAATATTTAGTAGTAAATTAGATATTAAAATGCTTGGGCGAATCCGTGAACGAATAACATTCAGTTTCTCACATTTGTTTATAATAAAGACTTGACTTGCTTACAAACAATAGTTGAGAAGGGTGAGTAGCATCACCAGTTCAAATATCCGACATTTCTCTTTTAATTCCTTTAGAATTTTTAGAAAATTTCGAAAATTTCAAAATTATTTTTTATGACTTTATTATATAGAAAGAAAGAAAGAATTATATAAGATCTCATACATAATATTTTATTACAAAGATGGCCGTTCACGGACTTCTCATAAAAATTGTTAATTTATTATCGTTCTTCTTTCTCATGGGTGTTAATATCTATTCGGGTCTTGGACCAGATAATGTTAGTCTAATTGCTAATGCTAATGTCTAATCTGTGGTCAAGAAATTCTAAATCCTTAAAGAGAAACATATTTATTTATACTAACATTTATTCTGATTTTTTAGGAATCTCGTTACATTAAGGACCACATTACATATATTTCCCCAGCTTATTTTACATTTTATGTCTGGTTTCTTATTCATCTTTTGCTAACAGGTTTTGGTAAGTATTTATTAGTTATAATAATAAATTATATGATTAACGAAATCTTATTTATACTTTATTTCAGTCATTTACCAGTTCTGTATGGATAACGACAAAGCTGTCGTTGAAAGTGAAGGAATTCACTGGCATTTTGTTGGAGTTGTCCTGCTGAACACTCTATGGCTTTCTTTATGGGTAAAAAAAGATTTTTTTAAATATATATTTAAAATAAATTTTAGTCATATTTATTTATAAACAAGATTTGTTTTTTTTTTTATAGGATGACAATTTACTCTTCCTATCATGGATTGTAATCCTTATAGTAGCTTGTCAAATAACTGTCATCTATCAAACGTTAAATGAACATTATCCGCCTCACGGAATTTTGGATAACCTATTTATTCAATTACCATTCACGTTATACCATGCATGGATTGTTATAGTGGCAGTTCTTACAACCTTTGCCACCATTACACCCGAAAAAACTTACCATAACGTTACCACTACAGAGGACCAAAATACAATTGAAGTTGCCGATAGTCCAACCATAATTGTACAACTTGTCGTTATTCTGGGATTAATCTTTCTTGAAACGACAGCTGTTGCTTATATTGAGAAAAGAGAGGATTACGCGGGCGCAGCGGTGAGTATATTTAATTATAAATTTACAAATTAGTTAAGTGATAATTAATGAATTCATTTTAGGTTATGGCTTGGACATTATATGGTATCTGGTGCGGACAAGAAGATCCAGTAATTCATTGGGCTGCACTTATACTTGCAGTCATAGCCACTATTTATCTTTTTAAACCTTTGGTCACGAAACTCTTTAGTAGAAGTAATAAAGATACAATACCAACATAGTTTAGGTGGAGAATATCCTATTTTATTTATAGATTAGATTATACATAAAACTAAAGTTTTAAAATTAAAATTTTATCATTGTTAATTTCAACTGATGAACTTACTCCAAAAAAAAGAAGAAAAAAAAAAATCTACCCGTAGATAAGAAAACTAGTTGAAGCAAGTTTATTCCTTGTAAACAAATATTCTAATGTCACGCTTAAAGATTTATCGAAAAATGTACCCAATTAAAAAAAAAAATATATATAGTTTTTTTTTTTGTTGTCTTTAAATAAATATATATAAATTGTTTATAAATTCACCGTTAGTCTATCGAAAAATAAAAGTATGATACTATAAAAATGATAATGGGTGTTACTGTCATTAAGATGAGCGGTGGTAATGATATTGAGGCAGCAGAACATTCCGCGCAGTGATAGTCTACAATATAATAAAAATAACCGTTAATTTTACCAAAAGTAAAAAATAAAAAAAAAAATAAAAATAAAAATTGAATGATTAATTATTTTGTTTTTACCTGATAAAGGAACATAGGAACCTGGTTTATACAAGCTAAAGGAAAATGTTGATGAGGCTTGCAGCCTTCCAGCACCACCGGTATTTTGCGGTTGCCAACCCCTTTCGTCATAAATGAAAAGGATATACTTTGACTCTATTAACTCAGGATTGGTAACTTTGCTCGTATTCCATGTATAAGTAGTGGTAGATGGATCCAAAAGATCGACTATAGAATAATTTAGATAATTTGGATTATTCAACTGGTTTTGAGGCACAGCACAAATATTCAAGTATTTGGGAGCAACTGCAAAGTTGGATGAATAAGACCAAGAGAAAGTAATTGCACGTCCGATGGCTTTAAGTGTATCTTGTGGTTTAGGAGCTGTGATCGTTATATAAACTGGTTCTGCACCGGGAGGTGGAAGGTTTGAGAATGCAGAGGATGGGGAAGCTGTTGAAGTGCCATTTGAAGCTGGTGTCGTTGAGTTTGAAGCTGTTGAGTTTGAAGCCGTTGAATTTGAATTTACTGGAGCTGGTATATTTGAATTTGCTGGGTTTGGAGCCGGTGAACTTTGAGCTGGTGCAGGTCGTGATGGGGCAGGAGCGTTCGATGGTTGTAGTTGTTCTGGATAAAAAAAGAAAGCCAAACATACATTTCTTTTACATCTTTCTTGGAAATAAAATTCTCGGAAATATGGTAGAGATCATACTTACGTCGTTTGTGCAAACCGTCAATAGCAGTTGCACTTTGAATATTCAGCATTACAAAGATCAAGATAACAACCAACACCGACAACTTTATTATCGAACGCATTATTTCAGATAATTTTATCGTTATGCGTTTAAAAATATATATATATATATATATATAAGCTATATATACTATTATTTACGACCAAAATTTGACCTATATTCGAAGTAGGTGGTTTTTGTTTTTTCGTATTAAAAGTATATGCCACGAGAAATAATAAAAGGAATTAGAATATTTGTCAATAATGATCAAAAAGTAAATAGAGCCATTTGTGCATGGTCAAAAAACAATCGATCAAGCATACTTTATGACACAAATTATTAGGATGGTACAACAAAAATAAAACGGCATTCAATATAAATTACGTTTTGATGATACCTGATCCCTAAAAGAGCTCCCAATGAAATTTAAACCTTATAATTAATTTACAGGTTAGGAAAGAAAAAAAAAGGAAAAAAGGGAGTAAACCAAAAAAAAGTATCTTGAGGCCTTGAAACGAAGTAATGTGTGGATCCCTTTTATTTACTCGCATACCCAATCATACAAAAATTATTTTATTCTAAAAGGGTGGCTATTTATATTATACAGTGCGCTTCATGTTCCATAATTCCAAATATAGTTTTGTGTTGAATTAGAAAAAAAATCCGCATTCTTGATTCGTTTAACAATTGCTTATAATACATATTTCGATATTGCGCAAATTTGCGTTTGATCCGTGCGGCTTATACGGAAACTTTATGGAAAAATAGAAATGTAGTACCTTGTAACTTAATTGCTTATTTTTTTTTTTCTTGACACGTTTTCCGACTTCCAGATTATTCTGACAAAATTAGGCATTTCATTGTAACATGAAATTTTACTACTTTTTCAAAAATATAAAAATATAAATATATATTATATATAAATATCGTCAATGTATATAATTAAAACTGCAATTCCCTCATATGTCTTAATGTCTTAAGCAGGAGTGTAATCTTAATTTTCTTTTAATATCACCATTTATCATTATTACGTATTATTACTTATTACTTATTACATTGTTAATTTCCAGAGTAGCCGAATGATATTTTGTAAAGATTAGCATTATATAAAAATAGTTATATATAAGTGGCGCCAAGAAGTCTTGTACGTAAGAATACTAAAATATTTTAAATATTCTAAATATTCTAAATATTCTAAATATTCTAAATATTCTAAATTTTCTAAATATTTCTCGGCGACGTTCATTTACGCCGGCTCATTTGCACTGATACACTACCAGCCGGAAATCCGATCCGATCCAACGCTTTTAGTTATAGTTTAGTTATAGCGACCAAACAAATTTACGTAGCCAAATTGAAAATGTAGATCACATGTTATTAATGATCAAAAATGTAGTATAAATGGGATGAACTTCGTTTATCAATATCAGCTATGATCATAATCCGATTTTTATTTGTTCGAATCCCTTTTTTTTTATTAAATATATAATTAAAATTATGAATATTATGAATATTATGAATATTATGGAAGATGAGATGATGGTCTAGGAAAATCTAAGTGCCGAATTGGGTTTTATAGTCCATAATCCATATAATGCCTCTTGGTCTGTAAGAAAATTTCTCGGAAATAGTAATTGCGTTATTTATTAATTAAGTCTTAAACTTTGAAAAATTACCTTTATAACTTTTTAAAGAATTATAAAATTATTAACTTGTCGGAATTTTACGACACAAAATCCCAACATGATAATAAATCAATACGTAATATACAAAACATAAAATATAAAGTAAAAAAAAATAAAGTCGAATGCAATACCCCTCTAAATGCACGATAATTGACTGGTTTAATATTGGACGTCATAGATAAATGCATGTCTTTGTTGTCTAAATTCACACTATCTTGGCCATATATATGATTTTTGCATATGATCCTCATTATATAATAATCATGCAAAATTTATTAACTACTATTATTAAATACAAAGTTTTTTTATAAAGTAAAAATAAATAATAGGGGGATTTCAGAATTAATTTATTTCGAAGATAAGTGAGGATTTAAAAACTCCTATTTCATTTTCTGATTTCGGAATTTCAAACCAAAAATAGGGATATTTTATCATATAAAAAGGATAGGATTTATAGATCGCTTATTTCGAAATAAATACGTCACTAATTTTATTGATTCTATTAATTCGGAATCACCTTAATACAACTTTACCGTTTAAGCGAATATTTCGGCGATGCATATCGGATTAAGTAACTCCATTGTAATGTCCAAAAAGAACAAATAGAAACAATTGCTACATTAACAAGTAAAAACATGATTGCACATAATAAATATAATACTCACCATAGAAAATATCCTTATAAGCCATTAGGTTTTTTACAGGGGAGGGTGGTTTAGACCGCCGCGAAATACGTAATGTTCGGAACAACCAGATATCAAACGATCGTAGATCAAATCATACAGTATATACGTTTCAGTATATGTGTCGAGCACTAACACAATTATATAATTCTTATTTCACATATATTATTAAAAATTTTTTATTTAAATATCTTAAATTTTAAGAAATAAAATCAAATTTATAATAAAAAAAAAAACAAAATTGTTTGTATTAATTCCCAAGTTAAAAATTAAATATCATTTAAAATTACAGTCAGACTTCTTTATAGTTATTATAGATAAATACGATTTATTATAAAACGCATATGTCTTTATAGGTTTAATATACGTATAAAATTTTTAATGCAAAATGTTTCATATTAGGGTTAGTATTTGGTTAGTATTTGGTTAGTATTTACGGGTTTGGAATAGTGACTGGACTTGTCAACTCGTGGCTCAAATAATTCGAATTTATCATTCTTAGAATCAGAATAATTCGAATTTATCATTTTTCGAATCATGAAAATTTATCGCGGTCTTTGAAATGGTTGAAAATGACAAATAATTTTTTTTTTGATGAACACATGAACACATGAATACTCGATTACCTTAACACGTTGATTGAAGGTTGATGCCCGATTTACGTAATTGCTGAAACAATAAGTAGTCATGCGAAATGATTATTGTTTCAACAATTACGTAAATCGGTCAATCAACATGCTAAAGTAATCAAATGTTCGTGTTTGTGCGTTCATGTGTTCACCATTTATTTGCCATTTAACTATTTCGAAAACCACGATAATTCTACTTATGTCTAACTATATTAGATTTAAAAAAAAAGTTATTTTTTTTATAATATAAAAGCTAACATTAAAGAGCTCAATATAGCCCCTCCTGGGATTGACAATTAATTATTCTCAAGGATCTTAGAGTCAGTCATTTAACAATTACAAAAGATTAAAGTAATTAATAATGGTTTTACTAAAGCACATCAGTGGTATTCAACATCACATCAATTTTAACCAATAAAATTATTGATTTGCAGTGTAATGTCAAGATTAAGTATAATATAAAATCAAAACAAACTTTGTTATTTTTTTAAAAAACTTTAATACTCAAAATTTTGCTTAATGGTCTCATTTTTGAAGATTAAAAAAATATATTTTTGTTTATAAAACTACTTTTTGTATTCTAATAAAAAAATTTTTGCAAAATTTTAGTATAAACTATGCTTTTACCTCATCTTAGGCTTTAGCTCTAACTCTAATATTAATTAAATTTTAATTATTTGTTTATTTATTTTGATAATAATTTTTATATTACACAAAATATTGGTGTTAAACATCACTGATATACTTTAATAAAACTGATTAATAATATAATTATATAAATTTTATATATTCATATATCTTTTGCATATTTTATATACCTTTTGTATTATTATGCATATTAATACAATATATAATTAGATATAATTATACAGTATATAATTTTATATTTTTTATATACTTTTTGTATATTTATACATAATTATACATAATTATATATATTTATATATAATTATATATATTTAAACATAATTATATTTAATTAATATTTATTAATTTCTTTTAAAGTTTCTAATTTTAGTCAATCAAAATGTGCAATATGAAAATCAAAACATCTTTTTGGTATAAAAAAATTTTTTGTAAAAGTTTGATATAATGTTGTTTACTAATACTAATCTCAAACTTTAACTTAAGTATTATATTTTAATTATAAGATGATATATAAAATGGTATAGATAATTCTAGCTAATAGAAACTTTAAAGAAAATTAGTAAATATATATAATTATTTATAATTATATATAATTATATATAATTAGAATGTTTTATAGAATAGATAGGCAAACTCTGCAAACTCTGCAACTCCAATATTAAAAAATTAATAATTACTAATCATTAGCAAAGCTTATTTTTTATATTGGTCATCTATTTTATAGAATATCCTATAATTATATATAATTTTGTATATATTATATATCTTTTGTATAATTATATATTTATATTTAATTATATATAATTATATATATTGTATTAAAGGGTGTAGCAACTTAGTGAAGTGGTGAAGTTTTCGCATCTTCAAACAGTTAAATACAAGTTTAATTCCTATGAAAGACGAAATTTGATTTTAGAAAAACAAATTTAGTAACTATTATTATGGTCAGAAAAACTCAAAACTTTGTAATTGTAATTGTACTAAGATAAAAATTAAAAGATTCTGGAGTATTTATATAATACATATGTTACACAAAAGCATACAAACTAGTTTAGTCAATGCAAAAGATAAGTCTTTCAAAATCACAAAAAACTACAAGGCTGATATAGTATTGAGGTGCTCACTTGAGAAATCCTGAATAGAGAAGTAGCACAGATTTTAACAGTACTATATACAGATTACTACTTAGAGAACTGGTA